TTTTGCCATTGTTTATTTTCCTATTATCGCTAATACATTTCGTTAAATCAGAGTCTCCTTGAAAATGCTAAAATTTAAGAGAGCAATTAATACCCACCCTAAGGCAATCAATCAGTGTCTTATTTGCTGCCCTTCTTGCTGTTGTTCACTTGTTATTAATAGCAGTAACTATTGTTGCGGGCTTTGCTTAATTATAGTTATAACAGAACACATGCTACAGGAAAGATTTTTTAAAATAGTAGATCTATAACGAAACAAACCTTAATTGGCTTTAATCATTTCCTTGTTGAGTGCAATATGTTCTCCATGCCCTCCTCCCTTTGCATTACTCTTGATTAATACTTTTGTATGAAAAACGTGTCAATACAGGCAGCAGTGAGTTCAGTTCCTTATTGGATTTTCTGATGACATATTGCTTACTACTCTCTGTCCAATACACACAATTTTCTTCCACAACTTCACTCATCTAACTTTTACTTAAAATAACAAAAGTAGCATATTATATTTTTTTGCTATTATCACATTCAAAATACTCAGTATTGGCATCTTCTCAGCACCATATGAACTTCAATCAGACTTTTCGTCAGCCAAAATTAAGCACTACTGAAGGCATACCTTTTTATTACTTTTGAACTTTCATTTTCAAGATTCATATCTTCTTTTCCACTATAAACTGAATACTATACACATCAATGCTAATATTTGATTTACTACAGTAAAAATAACTATTTTAATTAGTAAGAAATGAATATTAATGACAACATTATGGCCTGTTTGTACACCATGATAATTACTAGTGATACTTTCTTCGGTTGAGTGGCACAACTTTTTCTCTGTCATAAGAATTTTCTTTTAATGTTTATAACGGAGGTGTGATCATTCATACACTCTAATTTTAATTACCTGAATCTCTGTGATTTCTTTGCATCATTTTTGACAGTAATTTCTAGAGTAATGCACACCCAATTAACACATGCCATTTGTGCTAATGATATATTATTATATTTCAGAAGTCTTAGTGTCACATATCAATGTTGTTTGGCCTAGTTTTCTAAAATTACAGATAGTTTGTAGTAATAATTGAAATATTAACAAAAAAATCTCCACCTATGGGTGGGGTTTCAAACTTTGTATATCAACCCTGCCCTGGTGTCACCTCGTTGGCCTTTTTTCTAACTCCTAGAAGATACACCATATTTGTTCAGTTTCAGCAATGTTGGATTCCTGTTTGGACAAAGAACCAGACCAACATCATAAATTATTGGATGGAGGAGGGCAGAGTACCCTTCTCCAGTTACTGAAGTTTACCAGAGCTGACCAGAGAGTCAGCTCTGAACTTAATGCTCAGGAGCAAGACGGAGTGGAGTGATGGTGGAATTAGAGAAGATCAAATCCTCTCTCACATCTGTGGAGAACTGGATCAAAGCCTTGGAAGGGCAAAGCCCCCCAACCAAGTGTAGTCATTCCGAAAGAGTCACACTTGGTAGTGATGATCCGGCTTTACCCTGGGCAAACAGATGCCCATCGCCACAGGGAGATTTTGCTCCGGGCTCTTGGGAGGAGGAGATGGATTTCTCCAGCTCCTCTAAACTGAAGCCACCTGTAAGCAAGCTGTCAGAGAGCAGCAAGACTGTGGTGGCACTCTCCTTGTCAAAACTTCTCTCAAATGAAAGAAGGAAGATGAGGAATCTGTTTGATGCACCTGACTTAACTGAGACAGAATTACGCGACTGGATTCTCTTTAAATCAACAGTGGTTAAAAAGGAGACAACAAATACTGTTCAGGAGCTTGCTAGTCTACTAGCCCTGATATATGATCCAGCTACTCCCCAGTTAGCCATGCTTAGGGACATAGAGCGTGATGGGAGGAGTTAGTTATCTGTGGATCAATTCAATGCTGCATTAACCACAGCAGTCCAATTGCTTGGTAATGCGTCAGCCCAGGTCTCAAGATTGAGACGGAGAAAGATCCTAAATGCTATTAATCCTGAGATTCAGGATCTAGCTGATGAGGACATTTTTCTTCATCTGCTCCATATTTATTTGGAGAGAAGTTTGAACCAAGGATGATGAGCAGGGCAGAATCTCTCAAGATCCTTTCTTCTGCTAAGACTCCTCATCAGCCCCAGACAAAACAGTTTTTTCAAGGGAGCCGCCCCACTGCCCCCCAAAATGGAGGCGGCTCGACACGATGAGGAAAGTCATGGTGGACGACCAAGGAGAGCAAACAGGCCCCACCAAGGAAGTGACTTCTCCTCTGAAGGACCATGCATGTCAAGGCAGAAACCTACATACACCATGCACAAATCTTTTGATTTATCAGAGTATAATAAAAGATGTTTTGGTCAAAAGGGCGATTTTACCACCCAAAGTGGTAAGTAAACAAACAACTGCAGGGAGGTTAACACTATTCCTTGCAAATTGGCTGAAAGTCACCCACGATTCTTGGGTGATGGAGACTGTCAAAGGTTACAGGATAAAGTTCCTGTCTGAGCCTATTCCAAGGTCACCCCCCAAAAAGGGAGTGACACTATCCTCAGAGCAAAGCCTCGTAGGGGAGGAGATACTGAAGATACAATCCAAAGGAGCAGTGACAGAGTTAGCTCCCAAGGAGGAAAACAGAGGCTTCTTCTCAAGCCTTTTCCTAGTCCCAAAAAAGGACAAAGGGATGATGGATAAAAAAATCAAGGAGACACACCCACGGGGCGGGAGGTATCATGCCTCCTGAGCAAGCTCAATGCAGTCTCCCAGGCAGTTACTCCAGGTCCTCTTTTGAGAGTCCACTATCATTCCCAGGAACTCTATCTCCTGGGTTGGAGCGGTCACCTTCTTTTCTGGGTGACTTATAAAAGCTCTAAGTGTGGTAAGCACAGGACCTCTTTTATCCGGTATAGCAAGGCTGCAAATGTTGTGGCAGCTATTTTGAAGTGGGGTCAATCCTACATAGTAATGCTATTGCTTTACTAATATAATAGAATCATTCGATCCACATGATAAATCTATTTTATATCATCAACCTTTAAGTGGGGGCTCACCATTTTGAAATGTTGGATAAATAATGAGAGCACTATGTTTGCCGATTTTTTTGTAATTGAGTATTGGTGCTTCTTAGCTTCGTGATGTTACCTTTACTCATTTAATAGTAAAGTTTTAATATGCACATCAACATGTAAAGAGCTAAAGCAGATATTGCACAGTCATAATAAGAAATGGAGGTACATGTATCTTTCAAGTTGCATGTGTGATGCTGCTACAATTATACTTGGTAACTGTAAGACCCATTTTATGTGTTCCATGTTATATATACTTCATGTGGTTCTAAGTCACTGACATCAATCTTGGGAAAAAAGGCTCATCTTCAATGCTTTCACCTTCAACTCTGGTAGTGCAACCATCAGGAGACACAATAGTATTAACTGTTACAGTTTCCTCATAAGTTCATTGCAGCCATATTCATCCCTATTGCATAATTGAGGGAACTGTACAATTTCTGTCAGAAACAGATCAAAAGGACATCCTTCTTTGGCCTTCACGAGAACTTGAACATTTCTTATGGTTTTATCTCATGCATATACCATATAGAAATAAATTTTGGTTGTAGCTAAAGTTGGCAAATTTGGCATTTTGATAGCCATTCACCAAAATAAAAATCCACCATTATGCACATGCTTAATGGCACATGGCCACAAATTCGCCATATTTATATATGCCAGTCACCAAAAATTTAGCCATTTGCCAAATTTAACTCCCTCCAAAATGTCCTGTTATACAGTATTTGTTTTTGATGTTATGTAGAAAGTTTGAGTTTATTTTCATCAAAATTTGATTTTTACGCTGAATAATGGAGCTATTGTTATTGTCTGTAATTTATATATAATAATCATTTTAGCCTCATTGTGTTATAACATTAATAAATTCTTAATTGTGAGCTTAACATGCAATCCTTTTATTACATCAATTGTTTTAGATGAATATATGGATGGAGAGGCTATATCACTTGCATTTACAAGCAAGCCAGGACTTGATTGTTTGTTGCCAGTTGTTAAAAAGTGTGGCACACATCTAAAACTTTACTCTTTTCTAAGAAATTTTGGAGTCAGATTTAGAAGTATGCTTTGTTATAATGTTTTTTCATGCTTTTAGGCATTAACTATTTTTTTAAAGCAAGATTTCAGACCTGCCAGTCCATCTCTAACTTGCAATGTACGAAAATTATAGTTCAAATTAAAATTTATTACCATCAATATTTATAGGAGAATTACTATTCACCATCTAGTTCTGATGCAGGTGCTACATTTGCTACTCCAAAAACAGTATGAAGAAATTTTTTATTTACTTATTAATGATTTCTTTAGGCTTCAGTGAAGTCTGCGTCTGTCAACCTTTTTCCTACTTCACATTCAATTCATTCATCCTCTAGTGATTACAGTATAAATGAGGTATGTGTTCCTTGGGTTATTGTTATTAATTTTTTAATTTATTTTCTGGAACATACCTGATCAATTTCCTATTCCTGTTTTGTTCGAGTACTCATTTGGATAACAAATGTTTTACAGATGATCGTCTTTACATGATAAATTCCTTTAATTACATTCGTAGTTGTAAACTTTAAAATAAACAAATATTAATGGTATTCATACTTACTTCATAAGAAGTGTGAAGTAAAGCACAGGTTATGTATAGCACTAGCTTATTAAGCATATTATTGCAGTTTTTGGACTTGTGATGTAAAATCTTGGAGTTTTCAGCGAAAAACTTTCAGCCGTAACACTCATTCAGACGCTGAAAGATTTAGCTAATTTTCATTATTCAACTAATTGTGCATGCCTACCTATTGATGTCGAACAAAGATCAGGATTGAACTGTAAAAACACGTGTTCTTTTAACATAATGCTAATTGTCAAAACAATGCAGATGGAGTGACAATGGGCTTCTGTTCTAATAACAATGACATAGTGTTGCAATAATTATAAAAAGACTTGTCCTAGTTGTCAGAGAACTTTATATCCAATGTAAACTGCTAAAAAATCAAAATATATACTTCCAACTTTCAGTCTATTCAATATTAAAGATGTAATGTACTAAATTAAAGATGGATGTTGACAATGCACTACATTCACAGTGCAATTTTTGCTCTATAGCAAAAAAGTACTGTGGCACCACATCTTCATCTGGGTCAAAAAATCTAACGATATAAGGATGATTGTTTCGATCAGCCACCTCAGATAACGGAGTTCCACACTAAAGTAATAAAATAACAGTGAATATAATTCCATGTCTTGAAGTATCTTACCATAGCATTAAGTAAAATAAATGGAATATCATATGAAGTAAAGCTCCTGCTCTTTGCTTTCCTTCATGACTTAGTTAACAATGCACATCAACATTTTAAGCATTCATATCTGACAAAGGACTGGAAAGTTATTGCATAAAGAGATGAATTTTATTGTATAATACACAATGAAGTTGTGTGTTATACATACTTTTACGAAATTTTTCATTAATGACCTTCGAAGATGACTTGGATCCAGCAGAACTATTCCAGCTGCATGTTTTAATATAGCAAATCTCCATTTGCTCCAGTTAGCTTCCAATGACTCCTTTAAAACAAAGATAATAAATAAATAAAATAAAAAAATTAATTTAAAGGAAACATGAAGGAATACACATTTGTACCAACCATGCATTACGCCATTAAAATAAGACAGGATATGATATACTGAAAACAAACATTAATTCATTGTAAGTATCCTTGTATACATACATGTGGCATGATAGATGTACTGTAAGTCCGTAATACATGTTTTAGGGTAAAATTATCCTTTTCCCCATTATTAAAAGTCACTCCCTTTACTTATATTAATCTTATCTGTATACATGTATGTATCATAAAGTTATACTTATGTACACATATCTCTTTTCTATCCTTTTATCTATATCCCATTTTCATCTCTCCTCATAATAGTATATAATAGTGTACAGTCCATTTATTTACATCTTGACAGTAGCTCCCATAGCACTCTTAAGCCTTGTTCACAATACGACAATAAATAATACAACTGAAGCGGTTTGTACCACTACCACTTTGTGTGACTATTTCTAGTTGTTCACAAAATTTCGTCTACGTCTTAGCTCTGTATGTTTTGTATGAGGAGTTAATAAAACCATAACTCCTCCCATCAAAATGTCTAACAATGAAACTAGGTCAAGGCTACTATTCCTCCTTATTCTTCGACGAAGGAGAAGAAAGAAGAGGATAAAGTCTAGGAGAGCAATCATCAACTAAGTGGGGAATATCATTGTCTCTTACAAGAATTAAAGACAAATTTCAGTAGTACAGAATGAAAGAATGAAAGAATCAATGACAGACAGACACAAGAAATAGCTACATATATACCTTGCATAAGCAAGACCAAGGAGCTACTAATAATTTTTTAGAAAATAATTTACACCCACAAGACATAATAGTTCTCAAAAGAATGTATATTCCTAACATATTTATGGCTGCAGCTCCAGTACAAAATGAGATATGACAGTAATTACTCATTATTAACATTCAGAATGATTTCCTAAGTCTGGCTAGTCACTCTCTTTCCTTGTTTTGCGCTTTAGCACATATAGTCACCATTTCAAAAAGTAACACCCACTATAACAATGAAGGTGTGGCCTCTCCAAAATGGAGGACAAGCTCAAGTGTTATGTGG